AAAAAAAAAAAAAAAAAGAAACAGAGAAGAAAGAAACAAGTTCTCAATAAAAAGCAGAGTTTACTACACTTTCTGATTTATATCAGAATCCGACCGACACAAAGAGAAAAGACAATAATACGCACGAATCGCGAGCTCGTAAAAGAGTTGCTGGAGTTACACCGCAATGTCAGTATATCGTTGCGAAACGACGAAAAGGGGATCGTGATTCCTGGCCCGAGAGTCGAGATATGCCCATTTTAAACGTCGCGAGATCGTTTGCCGAGTATTCGCCGGGCTCATCATGGTCTCTGGCCTGTTATTTTTCTGTCGCGGCCCGTTTGTCATCTTTATAGCTAGTGCTACGCTCGTGCTACGCTCGTGGTTGGCATTAGAGGGAAATAGGCTCGTACGAGAGGAACAAGCATCTCCAACTCGGACTTGGTGATATATCAGGCTCAGATTAATCGAGCAGACTATCGGCGATTCTCTAACTCTTCCGTTTCCTGCCTCGCTTTCGTGTCCGCCAGATCCTTTGGCTTATGAACTCGTCGCTTTATTTCTGCTGGATAATGTTCCACGAATGAATCTTTCGTTTCTTCGAGCGGATCGCGTATTCCTCGGTCCACTCGGTTACTTTCTTTCCATAGAAATTTACTTGGAAATTTGGATGCAGGTGATAATTATTCATGTTTCATTATCTTAACAGTAGAATCACCGATGAATAAAAACTAGTAAAATTTCCATCAGAGACATTGAAAGTTTTTATTTAGATATTTTATGAAATATCATTTACATTTTTAAAAGTTTATAAAATTATAGGTTATTTTAACTATTTTAACTATTTTGATAGTTCATTTTGGTAGTGTTAATTCGACTAGAAAAAGCATTGATATTTACTATGGTTCGTTGCAATATGTTATATTTTAGTAGTTATTTTAAAAATTAAAATAAAATATCTTGATACTTATTACGAGAATGAAAAGTAAAATCTGATTAAAAAATGTTTTATTAGAAAATAAAGATATGTATCAATACTTCTTATAGTCATTGTAATTTATTTTTTGGTATAAATTTGATGTATAATCACTTCTTAATGTCGATATAATAGTGAAGAATAAATGTAAAGGAAAGATGAACAATTCTGCAATACATGTTTCATTTATTCTTTTCGTACTGGAAATAAGGAAATGAATCTTTCGTATATTTCGTTTTATCTTCAGTAGTAATGGAATACTAATAACAAGTAAAAGTTATTTCATCTCCAAACATCTCTATCCCCAACAGCAACGAAAATAATTCAAACGAAATAAAGTTAAGACGATTCTCTAATAGAAAAACTGCCTCGACTCGCCAACCTTAAATCCAAATCTCATATCGTCCAATATTCCCCATTATTTCTCGAAATACTATTCACTGGCGCTT